CCGGGGCCCGCCCTCGCCTCCTATTGGCCGGCGCCCGTCGCCCGTCAGGCCAGCGACACCTCCCATTGGCCGGCGCCCCCGCCCCGCCGCCGCCCCTCGGAAAATAATAAACAATCGAGTAAAATGCGGCGCGGCGGCCGCGCCCCCTCCCCTGGAGCTGCCCCTCGCCCGCAGCCCTGCCGCCGGAAAAGCCTTTCCTGAAGGCGCCGCACGAAAATTGCCTTCAGCCAGAAGCTACTGCTGCACTGAAGACCAAGTAAAGCCATCTCTCGGCTTTCCCCGATCCTCTTGTCTCAAAGCTAAGTTGTGCCAGGCTGCAGGTGCCCTCCAGCTACGAGCTTCGGGGCAGTGGAGATCTGTGTACGGTGGGACGGGAAGGGACGGGCTGGGTACGTGTGTGGCAGCCAGGTGTGCCGATCCAGTGTGCCAAATGCCTAGAGGCAGGGCAGCGACAGGGAGACCTGGAAGCCACACCTCTGAAACCGTGTCGGTTGTCTGCAAAAATCGTCCCCGAGGTGACTGTCCTGTCCGCATGATGCTGTGCAGAGAGATTCATCCACAGTCCTTACTTCGTTGTGCTGGTGCTTACACAGCACAGCCCTGCAATAGCTCTCACAACCCTGCTTCCCTCTGCCTGCAAACAGAAGGCGCGCTTGTACAGCAGGGGATTTAACCGGGGACCAGGTGACGGGAATAAGGGCTGCAGGAAAGGATTTACCTTCTCTCAGGCTCGCAGCCTGGCCTCTCTTTTTGACAGCAGGCGCCCAATACGGCCTATTTCACTTCCTCCAAAGAATTAATTATTTTCTCCTGTACGTGGCCCCTGGAGGAAGAAGTCTAAGCACCTCCCTCATGCTGTCATCCTGTATTTCCAGTGATCAGAGCACTTGTTCAGGAGCTGAAGATGTGGCTCCTGGTCCTTTTCCCAGAACTTTGTGTTTTCTTCTCTGACAGATGTTTGATGTAAAGTACATAGAGCACACTTTCAAAAGTGGACTGAAATGCAAGGCTGCTCCCCTCCCTTCCCCATGGCAATGTTATTACTGCTAGGTCATGGCCTCTCCTCGATTGCTCCGGTGAATCCCGAAGCCCCACCCTGTTCCCCCAAGCAGCAGTACGGGTTCAACAGGCTGTGTTAGGCTAGCCTGCCTCCCTGCTGCCATACTCTTCGGCAAGGTCAGAGCGAGGCATCTGAACCCCGGCGGGCAGAAGAAGGAGAAAATGACCTCGTGTCTCCTGGTGCGAGGGGCACTGCAAGGCACACAGGGGGAAGGAAATCTCCCCTGGGCAGTTGAGGAAGGGTTCAAAGGGGTTGGTGAAGTGTTAAGCAAAAGCAGTCAGCGGCTTAGCACATGGTGGGGAAGTCGATTATAAGCATTTGCAGCTGGTTCTCTCTCTCTCCTACCTCGGAGGAACTGGGGAACTGCTGACTCAGGAGCTGCATCAAGTCGGAGGAATGGGAAGGGGGTCATGTTTCCTGAGTGCCTGTACACGCCGCAGAGCGATGCCAGAGCGCCGGGCACCTCCTGTCCCGTCTTGGAAGAGCCATCACAGCGGCGTGCTCTAGGAATCCAGAGCCTGCTGCTATGTGTTGGATGTGCTCTGGGCAGGCTACGCAGCCGGGGCCCTGGGTCTCGTCTTGCATGGAAACGTGTCCGAGCTACGAATTCCAGCACTGGCTCCAGGGGGAAGACAGGCACAGAGCTGCCCAACACGGGGTGCTTGTGGGTATGTGAAGGGCAGAATATCCTGCATCTTGAGATGCTGACAACCTAAAAATAGGACTTCATTGCCACCAGGATTAGGCATCAGTTGAGCAGGGCATTTTAGGAGGGCAGTTCTGAACTTTAATGCCTCGGTTCTGCCCCGGTCCTGTTCTGGTATTAAAGACCTTACGTTCCTTGCAGCTCATGTGAACGTCTCTCAAACACGCTCGGGGCATGCAGTTATAGCAACTGCCCTGCAAACTCCTCCTGGAATCTGAAAAGTTGAATTCTTCCATTTGCACACACCCTTGCCTGCCTTGCAAAATCATTTCCTTCAGTTTAGCAAACCAAAACTTCAACTGAAGTCATTCAGTGCCAGTTTACCTACGGAGAGGCAATGACAGCATGAGTGAGAACTGATTTTATTGGTTTTTAAATTTATTTTTTGGGGGTACCATTTAGGTGAGCCCATCTAATTGAATACATGCTGATCTGCTAAACAGCTTGCTGCTTCTAAACACAGTAGAACTCTTCATAATTCACATGTCTAGTTTAAAATAGAGGTATTAAAATCCTCGTTTAATCATAATGGACTTTTTTCCTTGGAAGTAAACAGGGGAAAACTGGGGAGGAACTCTAGCTGAGGTCTGACAGATGTTCAAGTATGTGAAGCTTAAAGAGGAACGTGTGCTATTCAGTTTGCTCACAGAGCCTTTGTGACCCGTGTCTTCGCAGTAATGATGACACAAGCTTTTTTGAATAAAAGGAAGAAATTAACTGCCGTGGCTAATTGCACCCTTGCTAGCTTGCTAACCAAGGACACCATTTGACTGTGAAAATTGTTGGTGTACCCAAATCTCTCAGCTGGAGAGAATATCCAAAGTGAGAGTGTTCCCATATCTCTGGGTTAGAAGGGCTATTTTAAAAACTTCCTTTAATTGGAAAATTAAACACTATTGCTTTAAAACAGTGGTGCACTGCTTTGAAAAATTAAGATCATATGGAATCATTTATTGCTTTTCAATATGTATTCAGTCTCTGGTGCAATTTTATGTACTCGCTAATGCATAAAGTCTTTTGGAGCAGGAATAAAGCACCACAATGCATGATTTAATGCTATAGGGTCACCAGATCTGTTTCACATTACTGGATGTTTCAATCTGCTGGAAAGAAGGGGCTGTTCCCAAACCAGTGAAACAATCAGGGGGGGAAGCCCATAAATCTGAAACACTTTGGAATTATAGTGCACATATCAACAAAAACTTTCAAAGGATTCAGTGGGGATTTGGCTCCATAAGAGATTAAAATTATGTAAATTTATATTAAGTAACAGGAAAGTTAAAACAAAGTCAGTATTAATAGTACAATACTTGGTTGCAATTTAAGGCATCTTAATAAATCATGTTTTCAAACAGTACAGGCCTACATAAGCATGTGACTGTAAGAGAAAATAAGAGCAAATAATCTGGGAGTGCACAAAAGTGCTTTTGTTTGTAGTTCTGTGGTCACTGGAAGTGCCTATTCTTGTGCTTATTCACAAACACCTCTGGCTCCTTCTTCCAGAAATCCTATCCAAACGTTTTTGTTCTGACTTCGTTGGAGGACTTTGTGCTTTGTTTTTTTTCATATGACTTGTTCAGTCTTACAGTCTTCAGTCTTTCCTCTGGCAAGGGACTGAGATGGGTCTGATGCCTTTGCTGCTTTTTTTTTCATTTTGCCTTCTTTTTCCCCCTCCAGAATGACAAGCTGTGGGGCAATCTTTGCTCTCAGGGCCTGGGCATTTCCCTTTCACTGGTTCAGCAAGGATCAACAAGAAGAGGCCAAGTCTGACGAGTAAACCATGCATGGTTTGAGCCACCTGGCAATGAACTCTGCAGGCATGGGTGGCAACCTTTCTGCTTTTATCATGAACCTGAGAGCAGTATAACCATCTGGCTAGTTATAATTTAACAGAAACCCCATTTTTCATCTCACTGTGGTGGTATGCTTTCTTTTAAATGTCATCTGTAGAGTCTCCCAGTGAGTGGGAGCTTCAGTTTTGCTTTGTGTTTCTTACAGATCCTGACAAAAACTAGTCCACCAGGTTACTGAATAAGAGCCATATTCCTTCTTAGAGGACAAAGCACACTAAAAAGAGTTTACAGTAACTGTAATACTTCAATCAAAATATTTTTCAGTATATATTTGTCATTTATAACCAGTAGAATAATTGACTGGCTCTTTTATTAATTTTGAAAGCTTACATTTTCAGCAGCTTTATTAAGCAAGTAAATTAATCTTCAGCTTTCCTGTAGGACTGGAGCTTGTTCATCATGGCTGTGCCTTCCATCATTTTTTGGTAATTGATAGTAGTAATTTCAAATAAGTTCAGATATTTTGTTAAAAATAAACAGAGTATGCATATGTCTTCTGGATCAGCCCCTTAATGTGACCTCTCCTGTCTGCTCAAATTATAGTATCAAAACAAAAATCTTCAGGAAAAATTGAGCCAGTTGAATGAATACATAATCAGTATTAAAACCAATACCATGTGGACTAATTGCTGTCTTCAATTAAATTACACTGAGATCCTATATTTTAGCCATCTTAAATAAAATCCTCTTTAAAGTTCTTTCAAGCTTTTTGTCAGTTTAGGCATGTATTCCTATTTTAACTTGTATGTATATTTGTTAGGACTATTGCTTGTCTGTAGATGGCAATAGCATTACAGTGCTGAAGTGGCCCCCAGCCTGTGAAATAAGGCTGATGTTGGTGAGCATTAACTTTGAGAATGCAGAGAAAAAAATCTTGCCTTTTTCTTTTCTGTTTTGTTTTTTGTTTTGTTGGGGTTTTTTAAATGTCTGCAGCACTGGCAATGGGGACTGTTCTACTTGCAGGAATGTTGGGACTAATCATGTGAGAAAAGATCCTGGAGTGATGAGGCAGCGTATTTCCCATGTCTGAGGTCAGGATTTTTTCTGTGAAGCTGACCTTTAAAACAGCCTGAAAATGAGGAACGTGGCACCAGCCAGCAGAGCAGGAAGCATGAAATTATGTAAGATATGTTTCTTCTGCATATGAAATACTTTTTTTTTTTTTTTTTAAAGCTCCAGGTTTGTGATTCAGCATTTTTTGCCACTGAGATGTACAAGAAAGGGGAAAAGTCTGTAGCAAAAAAGAAAGTCCCTATTGTTCTAATCAAAACCTAATAAAATATTAGCCATCAGGTATTTTTGTTCCCTTATGATGAGCTGGGGTTGAGATTATATTTTCCCAAAATCGCTTTCCCCTCAACCTCCTGATCTGAGAACACTGGAATAGAAGACAAAGTTTTATTTAGGCACAGCCTGGGCACCTTTTCTATATATAATCTGTGTGAAGTGCCTCCAGCTTTGTAGGCATTGGATTCCTGGGTGACTGCTGTTTCAGCTCTGACAAGCAACTGCAGGACAGGCCTGTGATGAGGAAGCTCCAGGGTGCTGGCGCCCTGTGGATGTTTGGTGCAGGACAGGCAGGTCAGGGACCCCTCAGGGCTAAAGCATCAGCTTGGCTGAGGTTGCCAGACTGGGTTTGATCCCAGATGCATGGTGTTGCAAGCCCTAGACACAAGCTCTCCTCTCTGAGCTTGTGCAGAAGTGCCTTTACTGCCTTTTTTTCCTTCTTGCCTTTTTGTCCTGTGCCCTTTCCCCTGCTGAGATGAATGAGGTTACATTGAGAGGCTTGATGCAACTGCTGGATGCCCCAGCCTGTTGCTGCCTCCCTGGTCTTAGAAACGCTGCTGACCTCTTCGGAAGGAGAAAATGAGGGAGCAATTTCATCTTTCTCCCTCCTTGGAGGCTGGTTCTGTGTTAAGGTCACATTTACTTCTCTTGAAAAAGGAGGTGGCAGTGGCAGGGAGCACTCCCAGATAGTGGAGCTCAGCTGGGTACATAGAGAGACTGGTCCCTGGCACAGGTGGCCCCAGGATATTAGCATTTTCCCAAACAATTCCCAGGTATGGGCATAAAAAGCCCATATGCCACTAAACGTTGATGGGTAAGAGGGTTTAACAGCCTGTACACAGCTAGTCTGTGCCCACTGGATAAATCTTTTACCCCTATGGATGTGGTCTGGGTGTGCCTGGGGCGATCTGTGCTCAGAGCAGAACCCTGCACAGGGGCAGCCTTGCTTTCCAGTGTTGAATTATGTCATGGGGAAGAAGGAAGACAGCCTTGTCTTGCTTTCCCTTTACCTGCTGAGATGGCAGCACTAGCAGAGGTGACTGATGGCTCTTTTTTTGGTTGCTCCAAATGCCAGACAGAAGGAAGCTGGCTTGCATCTGCCTCAGACTCTGAATAGATTTCTTTTTCTTTTTTTTTTAAGAGTCCTGAGGGACAAACAAATGGATATAAGCACGTACTGTATTTGTGAGACTAGCACTGGGATGGCTTGCATGTTATAAATTGATGTTGAAAAATGGATGGTGGAACATTAGAGCCACACAAAATGATTCAGAGCCTGAAGAAAATGCTTCACAATGGGAGACATGAAGCACTTTGTCTCTTTAGTTTATCAAAAAAGGCCGAGCAGAGAATTGATTATGATGGTGAAGGAACTTCCTTGGAAGAAAAATATCAGGTACTGAAAGGCTCTTTAATCTAGTAAATTATGGGAATGTGTTTCAGCAAGCTGAAATCAAATACATTCATATGAAAAACCGGGCACAAATTTATTGAAATGAAGGTGGTTAATCACCATAACGAGCTGTCGGGGTAGTTGGAACATTTTCAAGATGTGTCCAAGCCAAGACAGGCCTGTTTCTGAAGGGTGTGCACTAACCACAGTTATAAGTGGAAGGGACACTGCAGTCAAGTCTCAAGCAAGGTAAACAGGTGAGGTTTGAAGGACCGTGATGTGTGACAGGCTTGACTAACAGCTCCCAATGGAGCCGTGAAGATCTAATGGTTCCCATGTGTCCTTAACCTCCGAGAGGCTGAGAAAAACAGCACTTAGCAGAAAGTGAGAGGAAGGAATCAGAATGACAGCCTCATCTCTGGCACATTCCTGTGACCTCTATTTCTAGAAGGACTGTGTCTTTCACCTGTTTGGGGCTTTACTAATGTTTGCTCTACTCCCAAGACAAGAACAACCTTTCTCCAGTCCACAAGCTCTCTGTACAGATTGGCATCAGCACCTTTAATTTTAGGAGAGTGTGAGTAAAAATTTGTAATGCTCAGCAGCTCAGTGGTAGCTAGGATAAGTAGTTTCCTTTTTCATTTTTTTTTTGGTTTTTTTTAATTCCATCTTCTTAAGCTTTGGACTTGCCTGTTCTTCACGCCTCCTAGTTTCCCTTGTATCCATTTCCTTGTATTGCCTTTGCCACCAGGCTCAGAGTATTTTCCTGCATTGATAATCTGTGGTGCAGGATGTCTTGGAAGATGCTTCCTACCTATACTTTGACAAAATAAAACCTGTCTTTCTTGCAGAGATTTCACATGGAATGGGTATGTCAGTGATGTGCTGTGTAGATAAGAGCTTGTCAGGAACTTTTTGATAAAGTACCTTTCATCCAGAAGTACAAATTTGTAGCTGCTGTAGCTATTGACAGAAACACACTGAGGTATCTTTGCAAAATACCTGCAGTCTGTATCTAGAGAAGTGCTCTAATTTTAAAAACAAGGCTCCTTTTTCAGAAAACCAGTTGGTGGTGGAGATCAGGAATTTCTTATCTCCTGTTGCCTTTTTCTGGGGTCCTATTTATTCTCCATCTGCCAGGGATGGTGCAAGTATTTTATTCTCTCAATCCCTAAAACAAGTTTGCTCACTTCTCCTTGTTCTAAAGGGCAGTTATGTACAAAGTCAGAGCTGAAACAAGTAATTTCAGACAGCATCCCTATCTTCAAATTGGAGAGACATGGACTTAAAAGGTGGACTGTTTGATGGATAAGGCATTGACTGGATGGATGCAGCCAGAGAGTTGTGGTCAAGTCTCTATGCCTAGGTAGAGGCTGGTGCTGAGTGGTGTCCCTTGAGGCTCTGTCTTTTTAGTCTCTTTATTAATGACAGTAGGACCAAGTGCACCCTCAGCAAATTTGCAGATGACAAAAAGCTGAGCACTGCAGTTGGCACAACAGAGGGAAGGGATGCCATCTAGAGGAACCTGGACAAACTGGAGAACTGGACCCACTAGAACCTCGTGGGGTTCAACAAATGCAAGGTACTGCAGCTGGGTCAGGGCAATCCCAGACAGTACAGATTGGAAGAACTCATGGAGATTCAGCCCTGTGGAGAAGGACCTTTGGGTTCTCGTGGATGAAAAGCTGGACAGGAGCCAACAGGGTACACTTGCAGCCCAGAAAGCCAAACACATCCTGGGCTGCATCAAGAGGTGTGGCCAGCAGGTCAAGGGAGGTGATTCTGCTCCTTTGCTCTCTGAGTCCTCACCTGGAGTGCTGCATCCAGCTCTGGGGTTCCCAGCACCAGAAAGATGTGAACCCGTTAGAGTGAGTCCAGAGGAGGCCATGAAGATGATCAGGCTGAGTGAGCTGGGAATGCTCTTCTCTTGATGAAGAAGAGAAGGCTACAGGAAAACTTCATTGCAGCCTTCCAGTACTTAAAGTGGCTTATAAAAATGAGGGAGAGAGGCTTTTTACATGTAGCAAGGGGGAACAGTTTTAAGCTTAAAGAGGATAGGTCTATATTAAAGGTTAGGGAGAAATTCTTTACTGTGAGGATGGTGAGACACTGGTACAAGTTGCCCAGAGAAGCTGAGAATGCCCCATTCCTGGAAGTGTTCAAGGTCAGGCTGGATGGAGCTTGAAGAAACCTGATCTAGTGGAAGGTGTCTCTGCCCCTGGAAGGGGGTGGGAACTAGATGATCTTTAAGGTCCCTCCCAACCCAAACCATTCTATGATTATATGAAATGAAGGGGTGGTGTTGTCATCCAGTTGTCATGCAGTTGTTGTCAATACCTACAAACCATTAACCTGGTTCATAGACTCTCTAGAACAGAGAAGTTAGAGGTAGAGCAGAATTTTGACCTGAGATCTCTAAATAGTGAGAGTCCTGAACTTAATTTTATGCGGGGGAAAAAAAAAAGTTTGAAGAATAAAAAATTTGGGGGAG